AATTCTCTTAGCCTAGCAACTCATTGTTCAAAATGGATTTCAATACCCCAAGGCTCTTAATTTTGATGAAATGATACTCCCTTACATTTAGAATTTAGTGAAATGTCTGATGCATTTACAAGTATTTAGATTTGGCAAAGGGAGGTCCTGTGTCTCTTTAACATAATTGGATGAATTTTAAGTAATTTCGAAGTCAACATATAGGGAGATGGATTAAACCTCAACTATTCCACATCAGAGCCAGAGCTTATTAACCTTATCAAGTCCTGGACAAGATATCATGGAGGGAACAGGTGCACCCACAGAACAGCAGAAAGGTAGATGCACTCACAGAATGCTGCAAAATATGGCCAAGCAGACAGACCCACTGTCAAAAAGTTGAGACCACTAGGTTGGTGACCTTGGCAGCACAGAACAGGCCCCTCGCTACAGGGCTATGGTTCAGAGACAGTCTTCTGGTCCTTAAGTAGGTGATCAAGACAGTCTGTCTCAGTAATGGGTATGTTAATTAACTAGCCTAGCCGGTGGGAATTACTTCACAAAGTATATGTATCAAACCATCCTGTTGTAAACTTTAAGTATATTATAACTTTGTCAATTATACTTCAGAAAAACTGAAAAAAAGAGACAGTATCATAACAAACAAATACCCAAACCAGTGAATCAAGTGGGGACTTTCCACCGGCACAAGATAGAAAAGAACCAGCTCCAAAGTGCTAAAGTCCGCATGAAGTAGAGCCTAGACTCCTGCCTGTCTCACTAAGCCAGGCCTCCTATAATTCACTAGGGACTATCCACAGCCATATTTTCTACCCTCCTCCCTTCCTCATATCCGGCCACATGTGTGGTCTTAATTCTACCAGGCTCTTCCACGTCACCTTCCCCCGGTAACTCCCTAACTTATATACATTCTTCAGATCTAGCCTTAAAGACCTCTCCCCAGATTTGGCCACTTCCCTCTAACCGTCCCCAGGCTAGATGAGGGCACCAGCATGGTATGCTGTTATATGCTTTCATTGCACTGTACTTTTTCCTTGGAAACATTTAACACAACTGTAATTTTTAAAAGCCATAATCTCCCCAGGGCCCA